GGTGGTAGGCGCTGGGTTAGTAGCTGTTCTCTGGATGCCGGTAACGGGTAGCGCAACCCAAGATGGCGCGGTCTCGCCGCTGCGCTGGCGCCCAGGGGGAGGTTTCAGCCTCAATCTCTAACCATCCGCATTTTTTAGGCGTTCTCTGTCTTTCCTGGCTGCAGACTGCCTCTCAGCTGAACCTCCCCAGCTTGATCGGGCTGATTGTTACCCGTTTCAGCTGCTCGCCCCTATCTGCTCCGGGATAAAGCACCAACACCTCCGTCTAAGCCTCCGCCATTTTTTTTCTCAGTTATTATAAAGTTTAAGTGATTTTTTAACCCTTTGAGTGCCAACCAATATCCTAGGAACTATGCTAAAATTGCCAAGGCATTTTTGCTGATTTTACAGCAGTTTAGGAAAAAAATTATGAATCGCAAGTAAATGAAGTTACATATTCAAAAACTTAAGGAAACCTTTACTACATTGACATATTTAGCAATATCATCATCACTAATAAAAGCAGACTTAGAACTGGACGCCATTTCGAAGCTTTGATAGCGCTCCCGGCACTTTTGGCAAAAGACAGGAGGAGCGTGATCACGCTCCCCAGCACTCAAGGGGTTAAATATAATTTGAGGTGAACATAAGAGCCACTTCACTTTAAAACAAGCAAGGACAATTTATTCATGCTGTGTCAAGCTGTATGGTGGACCTCTGTGTACAGTATTGCATCATATTTAACTGGGTCAGGAACCCTCCCCACAGTCCCCTCTGCCAAGTGGGTCCATTGGCTTAAGCTTGTTAGTCGTAGCTCATGGCAGCCAGTGTCCTCTACCACCCACCCTGGGTGCACAGGCACCGTCACTTCTCGGGCACACGGTGCTCTAAATGCAGGTCATTTATTGCCTGCCACACCTGTACTTCATATCTGGCTGCTGCCTCTTGAACCCTCTTAAATATTGACTTTGTTCATCCAGTCGAGCAATTAATTGATTAACTGAACACAAGTTATTGTTTAAAAACACAATTCACATTTAAAAATCTAATTTATGAGGCTAAAGATGTTATAATTCTAATCTCATTTCTACTTTAGTGGTTACTTAGTATTTGGACTTATAGAGTTAATGCATTTGAAATTATTTTTAAATTTATGTAAGAAGAAACCATTATGATTTTATTGCTGTGCAGTTTGATCCTTGACCATGTGATAACTAAAAATAGAATACTTAATATAATTTCAGTGTTGTATATATTGTTTTAACTATAATTAAGGACTGTTAGGGGAGCATATTTATTTAAGGACCTTGCAGTGATTTAGACAATTATTTTACCATATTTGATTATTTAATAGTATATATAGTAAGTGGTTAATGAAGTATCTTAACCCTAAGGTTGCTTATATACTTACTTGAGTTCTGAGAAAATTTTGACTTGATCTGTTGATTACATGTAAGTGATTTGAAAATAGTTCACCTTCAGTAAGGATTAAGTTAAGCATGATCATCTGTAGCGGGTATTAAGGATGTCTGTGTAGCCTGGCTGGTGTAGCTCAGCAGTTGAGTGTCGACCCAGGAACCAAGAGGTCATCAGGTTCAATTCCCAGTCAGGGCACATGCCTGGGTTACGGGCTCCATCCCCTGGGGGGCAATTGGGGGGGAGGTGTGCAGGAGGCAGCTGATCAATGATGTTTCTCTCTCATCAATGTTCCTATCTCTGTTCCTCTGCCTTCCTCTCTCTCTAAAAAATCAATAAAAACATACTGATATATAAGAAAAAAGAATGTCTATGTAGCCCTGGCCAATTTTCCTCAGTAGTTAGAGTGTCAGCCCAGGGACCGAATGGTCTCGGGTTCAATTCCTGGTCAAGGACAAGTATCTCGGTTGCAGGTTCCCCAGCCCCTGTACGGGCTCATGCAGGAAGCAACCAATCGATGTGTCTCTCTCACATCAATGTTTCTCTCTCTCCCCCTCCTTCATCCCTTCCTTCTCTCTCCCTCCTCTCTCCCTTCCACTCTCTCTGGAAGTCAATGGAAAAAATATCCTCAGGTGAGGATTAAAAAAAGAAAAAGGAAAAAGAATATCTATGTAGAATAGAACTTAACTTTCTATTAAGGGCTGCTTGAGAAACTATAGAAGAAATTAACATTTACCACTAGTCTCAGGCATTTAATAGATACTCAGCAAATGTTTGCATCGGATTCTGCTGTTTGTACTTACTCTAATTTGAGAACTGTTTATGGTCAGAGAAAAATGAACCTGTTTACCTGCTGCCATGAACTGAACCATGGCTAATCTGCCTTGTCACAGATTGATAAGGAATAGAGTGATTCAAGTCATTCCTATAAGGAAGTCACTACAAATGATCAGGTGCATTCTACTTGTTTCAGATGAAGCTTTAATCACTAACATTTCCATAAATGAGTTTCTGGCTTCTAAGTGATCAGGAGTTATATATGCAGAGTGAAAGGTGTAGAACAGCAATTTTCAACCGGTGTGCCACAAGGATTTTTAAAACATGCAGTACCTGACTATTTAGTCAGGGGCACTGACCTCTTTCCTTAGATTGTCAAATAAAAAAATGTGCAACACAATAATAGCCGCCCAATGTGAATGAATCAAAATTATACTCATTTTTTGTCAGATCAGCCAAAAATATAATATTTTTAGTTGTGTGCTACAGGATTTTAGTAATTAGTTGATGTGTGCCATGAGGTGAAAAAGGTTGAAAATCACTGGTGTAGAAGATAATTTAGAAAGTTAGCAACGATGGAAATTTCAGAATTAAAAATAAAAGTTTGATGTGATTCGTTTAAATGATATTTTATTTTAAAATATATGTTTTTTATCGATTTCAATAAGGAAGGGAGCAGGAGAGAGAAAAACATCAGTGATAAGAGAGAATCATTGATTGGCTGCCTCCTGTATGCTTCACACTGGAGATCAAGTCTGCAACCCAGGCATGTGCCCTGACCAGGAATTGAACCATGACCTCCTGGTTCATAGGTCGACACTCAACCACTGACCACACTGGCCGGGCTAGATGATATTTTAAAGAGTGATTTCCAGTGGTTATGGAGAAGCAAGAATAAGCCTAGAATTTTTTAACTATTTTATAGGGAAGTGAATACTAGGACTTTTTTTCTCTTTTGAATTTGTGAATTTTAATTGGGTTTATCAATCCTAAAGGGACACATTTAATAGAAATTCTTTTTTCAGGTACAAAAATTACAGAATATCATTGCAAGTCGAGCTACTCAATATAATCATGATATGAAGAGAAAAGAGCGTGAATATAATAAACTAAAGGAACGTCTACATCAACTTGTTATGAACAAGAAGGATAAAAAAATAGGTAAGAAGTGGCTGGCTAAGACAGAACAAGAGGAATAAATGCTATGTTAAGAAATAAATGTAAAAGCATTGAGCACAATAATTCCTGAAATATTATTTTTATGCTTAAACAATTTTTAAAGATGGTATATGTCCATATAAACTAGAAATTGAGGCAACTGGTAAGGGAAAAAAGAGGTAATTTGCTTTGCTTATTACTTGCATATAAGAATTGCATTTCTTGTTAACATGGTAAGTGTGGATTAATCCATAGAGGAGAAATAAGCCAGAGGACACACTCTAATCTTCCATAATAAAGAACCAATAATATTAAAAATCAGGATCAGTTGTTTAGATCAATAGAAGTATGCTTTTGAGAAAATAGTTCATCAGACTAATAATTTGTCAGTTTGAGTTCCCTTAAATTGAGTTGTGCATTTTGAAACAACTATTCAAAAGGATGAACTATGAAAGTTATGCTTATATTTGTGTGGACTAGTATTTTTTTAATTTATAATTTACTTCATGCTAAAATATGAGTAATTTCAAGTAAATAGCATAGATTGAGAAGTAGATCTATACATACACAGAAGTAGAGTACACAGATAGTTTCACTGGCCTGATGAGATTCAGGAGACAGAGAACGTGTGCGTTTATTTATTGAAGCATGGTTTCTAGTGGACAGTAGGCTGTCCTGTAATCTGTATTGTACAGGCGCACCCCTAGCTGTCTTTCTAAACTGAACTGGGACTTGCATGCAATAGCTGACGAGCAGATGTTTCCAGCTGTCACCTGGTGGGCTCTGTCTGCTATCATCCAGCCATCAGTGTTGACTGTATCACTGTCATGCTGTATAGCAGAGGTGTTGCAGTTTTTCAAAGATTTTATTTTTAAAGTCATTGAAAAATGAAAGTGTAATAAGCAATTAAGACAAGGTTGAAAATCTCTAGGTATTCTGAGGTAATAAATCTAAAATTGCACTTGGACACTCATTGTTGTTTAAGGTTGGTTAACCGTGTGTTCATTTATGAAGGAAATAAAATTAAAGGATGAAATGCTAGAAGTATAAAATGTATCGCCCAGTTAGAGAAGTTGATTAAAAATGTTACTCTGGTGACAGAGCCCTTATTTTATGGGGGGTGTGGCTGTTTCACCTTGTCCAAACCCAGTTGGAAGTGACAGGTTCATAATGGTTTTCTCAGTTCTAAAATGACAACTTACTCCCATCTTTCTTCTTATGTCAACTGCTTCCAACTCCGTGTGGTGCAGACAAGGCGTTAATGCTGGCACAGGGCCTTCCTGATTGACTCCTTTACCGCTGCTGCTGCTACAGGGCTTGGCAAACTTCTTCTGTAAAGTTCAAATACTAAATATTTTTGCTTTTATGGGGTCTAACTGATTCATCTCTGCCAGTGCAGTATAAAGGTAGCTGTAGACAATATATAAGCAAATTGTGTGGTTGTGTTCTAATAAGACTTTATTTATAAAATCAGGCAGCCAGCATGTAGGCCCTGATGATAACATTAATGATAATAAGATAACATTTATTAGGTATTTACTGTGTTAAGTGCTTTAACATTTCTTTTGTTCTTCACAACTTCTCGTTGGTATATACTTTCATTATTACCTGTATCGATGAAGAAACAGGCTCAGCAGTTAAATAACTTGCCAAGATCTCAGTGCTTATAAATGATGAAACCGTAATTTGAAATCTGGGCTGATTGAGCCCAAAACAAATTTCAGTCTATATACCAGGTTGACTTACGTCCTTGATGCGTTATGGAATGTATTAGGGTTTTAAACACTTAAACGTGTGTGGTGAGGATTGGCTTTGTTTTGTGTTCTTGTAGCTATGGAAGTTTTAAATTATGTGGGCAGAGCTGATGGAAAAAGAGGCTCTTGGAGGACTGGTAAAAGTGAAGCAAGGTAAGGTCCAATTTAAATTGATAAATTCAACCAGACTCTTCTTTCTATGCTGCATTTTCATACTGACAGTTTCTTTTTCAGGAATGAAGATGAAATGTATAAAATTCTCTTGAATGATTATGAATATCGTCAGAAACAAATCCTAACAGAAAATGCTGAACTTAAGAAGGTTCTTCAGCAAATGAAAAAGGAAATGATTTCTCTTCTTTCTCCCCAAAAGCAGAAACCTGTAGAAAAAGCAGATGATAGCACAGGAACGGTAAGTGGCTCTTTCCTTTCAGATTGCTAATTAGAACTGTTGAAGCAACAAACAGGTATTCTCCATGGGGACACTGTTGATATTTTGGACAGGACACTCTGCTATGCTACCCCAGTCACCGTGACAACCAAAAAAATGTCCGTTTCCAGACGTGTCTTGGGAAATGATGGAGATTATTTTCTGATGACATAATATGTACCAAACACTGTAATCATTTTTATAAGCATTGTGTCATTTCATTCTTCTTATAATTTGATGCTTTTGATACTATAATTATCCCCATTGTGTAGATGAAGACACCTGAGGCACAGTGGTCAGCCCAGTGTCACACATGACCCAACCAGGATTTGCGTCCAAGTCCTTCCTCCTCCAGAGTTCATGTTTTTAACCACTGTGCCATATTCTTTAAATATTTTACTTAGAGTACTGTGTGCTTAAGCAGGCTCTGCTTTTCAGAGAGTGCAACCTTTGTTAACGCTAGGAACCAAATAATCATTCATTTCGTAAAAATATTGAGTATGCATTATGTTCTAGTTCCTGGAAAGAAAATTCTAAAAATATTTTTAAAAATATATTTTTATTGATTTCAGAGAGGAAGGGAAAAGGGAGAGAGAGATGGAAACATCAGTGATGAGAGAATCATTGATCGGCTGCCTCCCACGTGCCCCCTACTACCTCCCTGGGGATTGAGCCTGCAACCTGGGCATGTGCCCTGACCAGAAATTGAGCTGTGACCTCCTGGTTCATAGGTCAACTCTCAACCACTGAGCCACACTGACAGAGCAAATCTCTAAAAAGATTTTGACTTTTCCCCGGTCTTTGTTTGGGCTGCTATAACAAAGTATCATAGACTGGTTTATAAACAACAGAAATTTATTTCTCGCAGTTCTGGAGCCTGGAAATCCAAATCGGTGCCAGCAGATTCAGTGCCTGGTGAGAGCACTTTTCTTTGCTGCAGATTGCTGACTTGTACATGGTGGAAAGAGAGTCGGAGAGCTCATGGGTCCCTTTTATAGAGGCACTCATCTCATTCATGAGGGCTCTACTCATGACCTAATCACCTCCCAAAGACCCCACCTCCTAATACCTTCCCATTGGGGGTTAGAATTTCAACATATGAATTTTGAGGGAGCACAACATTCAGTCCATTGCATCTGCAAGACATACTTTTTGAGAGAGACACACATATAGAGAAGTTATAATTCTACTAGAGGCCCAGTGCATGAAATTCATGCACTTGGCTGGTGGTCCCTCAGCCCAGCCTGTGCCCTCTAGCAGTCTGGGAGCCCTCAGGGGATGTCTGACTGACGGCAGTCAGATATCCTTAGCACTGCCACGGAGGCAGGAGAGGCTCCCACTACCGCTGCTGCGCTCGCCAGCAGTGAGCCCGGCTTCTGGCTGAGCAGCACTCCCCCCATGGGAGCACACTGACCACCAGGGGCAGCTCCTGTGTTGAGCATCTACCCCCTGGTGGTCAGTGCACATCATAGCGAGCGGTTGAGCGGCCTTATTAGCATATTACCCTTTGATTGATTGAATGGCTGACCGGACGACCAGACACTTAGCATATTAGGCTTTTATTATATAGGATAGTTATTGTGGAGCTATAATAGGTTAGTGTAGTGTGTAAAACAGAACAGATATGGCAACTAAGGAAGGCATCACAGAGCAAGTGACATTTGAGTTGGCTTTTAAAAAATTAGTAGGTGTTTTTGAGGTAGAAAGCATGGGAAAGCATTTGATGAAAGGAGAATAATATGTACAAAGGTCTGAAAAAGCAAGTCGTATAATGGTGGAAGTTCTTTTAACTCTATTGCTTTACATAGAAGTTTAAATTCTGGATTCAAGATGCATGACTAAAATTTGAAACTAATAGTGTTGGTGGAAAATGTTAATTACCAGCAAGTTACCAGGACTTATTTTTGTATTCCCCCTGTTTTTAAGGTGTTGGTGGTATAGTGGTGAGCATAGCTGCCTTCCCTCTGTTTTTAAAGTTTGCATTACACCACTTCCCTTTTACGAAAAAGCTACATTAGTACGTGTTTTCACTAACCAAAAGAAATCCAAAGAGAATTTTCCCTTCTAAATTAATAGTCTTTGCTTCTTCACTTTACGACATTACAGTTTATGGGAGGTTTCATAGGCGCACTCTACTTTTGGATATTGGGGGAAACTGGTGTTTACTTGTATTAGAGATTCGGCCTATGCCCACCCCACCGCTTACCTTTCTTTTTTTTTCTTCTTTAAAAACAGCATTATCTGAATGTTCTTTTTAACTCTACAATTAGAGGCCTCCTTGATGCCTTATATTTAGTTAACCTTTTTCTCTCAAAGTCCCTCTCTTCAGGTCAGTTCTTAACATTCACTAATACCTCTCCAGGATTTGCAGAGTTCCCATTACTCCTGTGGTTGCTTAGCTTTTGGCCCAACTTTTACTAACCTCTCATTACCAGCTTTTATTCAGCAAAAGTAGTGGTAAATAAAGATCTTTCTCATAATTAAATTCCCCTTTTCCCCAATTATTTAGCCAGCGGTTGTATCTGTGTAATTCATAATTCAAATATTTAGGGTTGGAGAAACAATCTCTTAAGTATATTTTCTGTTTTTAAAAATGTATTTTCTGTTTTTCTACATCTTATTTCTGTTAAAATTGAAGTAATTCAGTTGGAGCATTAGAGCAAGAGGAATAAGTTGTAATGTTGGAATATCTAGGTAGCATCCAAGTGTCGTTTATTTTTTATTTTGCTTACCTAATTGTAGCGAAAATTTATACTCAAAATTTACATTAAATGAATTTTTCATTTTCATTTTGTGGTTTTAGAATTTCAACTTGGAAATGTGTAGCAGTTTGTTATTTTCAAATAATGGATTTGCAGTATTTTTTAAATATATAGAAGAGAAGGTTTAGCTCCTTGGAAAAGTTACTGGCAAATAGCTTTGGAAGATTGGCAATAACCAGAGTCACAGTGAGCTACATTTTCTGGGCATTTTCTCACTGGCTCCCTGGGAGACCTTGACCTCTGCAGCCCATCACTGACCTCAGACTATTGATGCAGTTCTTCTCACTCAGGACTGTTCTATGTAGATTCAGATTATTATGACATACTCATTTTAATATCGTTTCTGTATGTTCTTTATTCTGCTTTGATTCTATTTGATCATATGCAATAATTAAGTCTGTTACACTTTCCTGTGTTTTAATGTCTTGGTAGAATTCACAAAGAAAAATAACCTCCAATTTTATTTTTTAAAATTATATGAGAAAAATAGAACTAACAGATGCTTTTACTTTGGAAATTATTTCACAGGTTTGTTTAAGCAGCGTAAGATTGGAGACCAGTTGATCTAACTTTACCTCACTTCTACTTCTTGGCTGTGTGACATTGGGCAAGTTACTCTTTCTCTAAGCCTGAGTTTGGAAGATTAATTAATATGTGAAAGCATCTAAAACAGCGGTTCTCAACTTGTGGGTCGCGACCCCTTTGGCGGTCGAACGACCCTTTCACAGGGGTCGCCTAAGACCATCCTGCATATCAGATATTTACATTATGATTCATAACAGTAGCAACATTACAGTTATGAAGTAGCAACGAAAATAATTTTATGGTTGGGTCACAACATGAGGAACTGTATTTAAAGGGCCAGAAGGTTGAGAACCACTGATCTAAAACATTAGACAGATAGTAACTTCCTCACACACCTCAAATTCAGGTTTGAAGAGACCTGATTTGGGGAATTTCTACCTTCAATATTAATTGCTTTTTCTTAAAATACTTACGTTAAGTACTGGGTCATATATGCTTAAGATACAGCACAGAAATGATTTTGATAAGTAGTTGACAGACAGTCTGATTACTACTGCCTATGTGCCTAAAGCCATTTTAAGATACTGGTCTTTTTATGTCTTGTAGGGTATCTCTGATGTTGAAGAAGATCCTGGGGAACTGAGTAGAGAGAGTATATGGGACCTTTCCTGTGAAACTGTGAGAGAGCAGCTTACAAACAGCATCAGGAAACAGTGGAGAATTTTGAAAAGTCACGTAGAAAAACTTGATAACCAAGGTAACTACTGCCTAAATGCATGCAAAGTGAGTAGTGACACTCAGTAAACTTAATTTTCCTTCATATAAAAGCCAGTTTGGTGGTTTAAAAAGCAAGACTGCCGACTTCTAGTTGTGAGGTTGAATCTCACTGAGAAAATGTACTTGGCGCCCAGAGTGCATCTTTCTCTGGAAAGCGGACGTCATGATTCATGTGCTCTGAGTGCACGTGGATACAGTGATCAGTCTCTTAGTAATCTTGGAAATCAAGAAGTAGTAACCATCATACAGTATAAATATGAATCTTTTGCTTATTCTAGATACCTGCATCTAAGATCCTAATAATCCACTTTTAAATTATTTTCAAAATAAATGATGTTCAATGTATTTGTGTCAGGGAGTCTGTAAAGTAGAATATCCAGGTCTCTGTTCCCTACATGTAACACTTAACAGTTTAGTGCAAATCTTTTTAGACTTTTCTCTCTGCATTTGCAAAATATTTATTTAAAAATACACACACACAAAAACAAAAATTGAATATTTTAAACATCTTTTCCTGTCAGTACATATAGTATAGATAGATTTACGTGTCCTTAATATTTTATATTTATTAAAGTTTACATGCTTTTAAATCAAGAAAATTAACTTTCTGCTCAGTAAGTGGTTTAATTAAAAAATTATTCTAAATTGTCAAAAATAACAAACTCAGTGCCATTTGTCTTCAGTAATAAAGAGCAATCAGCAGGTGGTGTGGAGAGGATCAATGGGGGTAAAAGGGGGCCATTTGTAATACTTTCAACAATAAAGATACATCTACATTAATAAAAGACAAAGATGCTAATTGACCGTAACTTCGCTACACCCCAGCCACGCCACCAGCCAATCAGAGCGACTATGTGCAAATTAACCCAACCAAGATGGCAGCCAGCAGCCACGGAGCTGGAGCAAGCAGGAGGCTTGGTTGCCCCACCGATGGAGGAAACCAAGCTTCCCACCTGCTCTGGCCGGCTTCGGCTTTCCGCAAAAGGCAACAAAGTTTCAATTATAGAAGCTAAATAAATCCCAGATACCTGCTTCCAGCCAGCCTCGACTGGGAGCTTGGGTGGCTGGGGGCTTTGGCCAGCCTGCAAACAGCCATCAGCCCCTCACCCAGGCTGGCCAGGCACCCCAGCGGGGACCCCCCTAGCCTGAAGGGGGCTGTGGGCCAGCCCTGCAAAACAGCCATCAGCCCCTTCACCCAGGCTGGGCCAGGGCACCCCCAGTGGGACCCCCCACCCTGATCCGGGACACCCTTTTCAGGGGCAAACCAGGCCGGGCCCCCCACCCCATGCACTAGGCCTCTATCCTATATAAAAAAAAGGGTAATATGCAAATTTGACCCCTAACAGCAGGACGACTGGGAATCACTGGTCACTATGACACACACTGTCCACCCAGGGGGCAGACACTCAAATGCAGGAGCTGCCTCCTGGGGGCAGTGCGCTCCCACCAGGGGAGCTCTGCTCAGCCACAAGCCAGGCTGACGGCTGCTAGTACAGTGGTGGTGG